CCAAACGCTCTACCATTGAGCTACGAGGATCACTATGAGCCGTGAATTGAATCATACTTGGGTCGACTTACCTGCCCAACCTACTGACCGTATAGAATCCACCATTACGGATTCAGCAAGCTGACTGCCCAGACAGAATTTCCTAAGCAATCATCTAGAATCCACCAAAATGACTACTTGGCTCACTTAATTATTAGGGAGGGGAGAGGGGGGGGGGTTGGCCACCGAGGCTGAGAGTTCTTCACAATTGGGTCAACTGACTAGATACAGTTTTCTAACCCAAACTACGACTTTAAACATAATTCTTCATCTTCTTCTGAACTACTGCCTGGAACTCGTATATTCTCCTCTGTTGGTAATCTTCATCCTATCTTAGTAGTATCCGAAATTTCCCTGGAAATTAGCGCATGGCCCCAATAAAGTAGAGCCTCACACAACTTGACTCTCGCCCCTTAGGCTCTACTTTCCTAGCCAGTCGACAGCCTTCCGACCCGCAGCAGCACTGTAGTAACTTCCATACGTGGCAGATGGATCTATAATGGGAACGGTCAAGCAGTGTTGGCCTCTTGCCGTTCACGGAAAAACTGTGTTCCATAGGCACGACTTACGAACTCACATTTGAGTGGTTTGAGCAGTTGACGACCTCATGCAGCCAACCGTTTTGTTCTCTCAGACAGTTTACTCTTTTCATTTTCAACAAGTCCTGCCAAGGAAACATGCCACCCTCACTGGTTTAACCTGCTGCATCGCACGTGCTGACCTCTCTGTGCGCCATACAAAAGCAATCCGGAAAGCAACGAAAATTTAGTTTCCCAGCCGATGTTTTTGTTCCAGCGAGTTTTTTTCCGATTAGTTCACAAGTTTGAAACATACTGAGTCTGAATATTTCCAGGGGGGGGGGTTGGTTGTCTTTGCCAGCTAATTTATCATTCTTATCTCTTCTTTTTGGTTCATACTCCACGGCTCCAGCCAAGTGTTTCGGCCGTGATCGTTACTATTTTTTGCACAAAACGGGTCCACTGGGACTGGCTGTAGCCTCCGCATTCGCACACACACAAGTTTCTGACTTTACAGCCACAGGACAACGTTTTCACCCCACTCCAGGATGCGTAGGCGAAAAAAACCCGCCTATTTTCAGCCTTGGGGATACAGCAGAGTCGACCAGCCAGTTATTCGCGACGACCTTGGACTGAGCACATCATTTCCAAACGGAAGGAGTTACGCCGTTTTTATGAATTTCCGTAATGTTTTTTTCAAAAGGCGCTCGGCAACAGTAGTTTAATTAGTGCACCTCATATACCCCTAGTCTGGGCATTTTCTCCTACGGAAACGGTGGTTATAGGGGTTTTATGGGTGGGGAATTAGGGTGGGTAGTGGAATATACTTTCATAACTGCTATATGCATTTATATTTTATTTATTTAGAAGTGTTGTTGATTTACAAATTTGTAGATTTTCCTAATCTGTGTTATCGTTTAACGTATTGCGGAAAAATCCGATTATAAGAATGCAGGTTCCTTAAAATTGCTGAAAAAGTAGAGGTTGTGGTTAGAAGGTCGTCCACTTCAATTTACCTGGGATCCAACTTACCGTTCTGGAGTTTGATTAGTATAGTCCGCGGCGCAAAACACCGCGCACACATTCAGTTTACACGCGGAACAAATTAATCCCAGCGGCTGTAGGTAACAAATTCCAGTACATTTTTCCGCTTTACACTTCTGCAAATTTCCTTCACTGCCCATTTTACCCCCCTCCCTCCTCCCCCCAAAACCCTATAACCACCGTTTGCGTAGAACAAAATGCTGGGACTAGGGGTATGTGATTTGCACTACTTAACATACCTTTGCCAAGCGCTCTCTGAAAGGGCGTGAGAAAAGGGCGTGCCAAAATTACCAACAGCCAATCGCTAACAGCACTCGAATAAAAGTTAGAATGTAAGGCCTACAGAACATGTACTTATTCAACACTGGCATCCGAAGAGGTTTTGTCCTATCACTTGCCCTCTTTAACAATGTGCTGGACGCAGTTCTGAGTGCTACT